CTTATAGTAATAGCTATAGTAGTAATAATAGCCCTAATAATAATAATAACTTTAACTAATAAGTTCCTTACTTTATCTTAAGGTATATAAGTAAAAGCGGAATTTTAGGAAATTAAGGAATTATATAAGACTACGTAATAAAGGGGAAGAAGGAGTATAAGGTAGGATTTTCAACGGAATTTATTAGTAGTATATTAGTATATAGAAGAGGTGTTTAAGTTAATAATTCTCTATCTATCTACTAGCGGACATGCTATCTTATATAGATAATTATAGCTAAACGGAAGAACCTTTCGGGACTAGATTTAAGCTACTATATAGCCCTAAGACTAGGGAATTCCGTGATACCTCGAGTAAATCTAGAAGTGTCTTAGTTCTACTAATATTCGTGTTTAAAGGAGGTTAGTCGTGCTAGTATTCTTAAGAGGTCTTAGCTAGCATTCTAAGCTAGCTCTGTTCCTTCGATTCCCGATTATACGATAACCGGCAACCCGTTTAATATATAATAACGTGTAAAATAACGAGCGATTCTTACTTTATAGGATAAGATTTTATCTATAATTAATATACTACTTATTAGCTTATATAATCGGGAGAGTATATTATAGCTGCTTTATTTATAGTAGGAACACTGTTCCTTATACTTTATAAAGCGGGAGGCTATAATTTATAATACTAACTTCTATAATAGATATATCTACCTCCCCCTCCCTTACCTTTTCCTTCTTAGAACGTATAAAGTTATTCGTTAACGTTATACTAAGTATAGCTAACGATAGCTCTACCGCTACCGCTACTCCTACCTATGCCCCTGCGACCGCGCTTACCGCCCCTACCTTTACCTCTACTACGATAGCCGCCCTTATATTACCCTTTTAAGTAATAACGCTATCCCCGCTACCGCTTATAACGCCCGGCCCCTCTACCCCTACCTCCGCCTCTACTACCTATATAAGTCTACTACCTAGTAAGCGTAGTAGCTATTTTCCGCTAACTTCTTAAAGTATAAACGCTAAGTATAAGCTAGAGCTACCTACGCGGCCCCTTATATATAGTATATATTATAGGAGCTCCCTTACGCTAACTAAATTAAGCGCTGCTATAGCGGTAGTTATTATTAATATACGCGTACTAGCTATACCTATAAGGCAGCGCCTCCTATCTTACTCGCTATAGCGTTAGCTTAAAAGGCTAGCGCGTATAGGTAGGTATAAGGGGCTACTAAGAAGCGCCTTACCGCCGCCGCCGCCGCCGCTTACTATAATCTCCGCGCCCTTAAGCGCTAGGGCCTTATCCCTAAGTAAGTTCCTCTTCTTTAGCTCTTTTACTTCCGCTATTAACTCTCTTAGTACTAGGGATACTACCTCTATCGCCTTATCGGCGGTCCCCCTAGCTATGCCCGCCGCCGCCCCTACTACTACTACTAGCTAAGTATAAGAGTCTTTAACTATTATAGGTTATAGGCTTAGGCTACGGCCTAAGCCGTGTAGTTATATACGGAGGGCCGGATCCCGTACGTATATATACGGGCTAGCCGCGTATAGAAGAGCTCTATATAGCTTATTAATATTATCCTACGGACGGCACCTACGTATACGCCTCTGCTTACTCCGTAATAGTATAAGCTATTAACTAATAGATCTAATAGATATCTCCCTAGAAAGGGCGCCGCTTGCCTAAGGGAGCACCCCGCTACCCCCTAGGCGGATAGGAAGTATCGTAGCTATCCTAGAAGCGATTAGAAGCGCGACGGCTAGCGAGAAGAACGAGGTTCTCGCTATACTAGGGGAGCCGTCTATAAGACTAGCGTTAACCCCTATAACCTCCGTAACACCGGTTACGGCGGTAGCACCACCGATATAGAAGCCGCTTCCGTAGCCGACTTAGGATAGTAAGCCTAAGTCCTTCTACTTCTTCCTTAGCCGGCTATAGACGAAGTTTATAATAAATAAGAAATAGGGCCTAAACGGCTATTATAATATAGCGTGGTATTTACTCCTCTATACGCTGCCGGAGCCCTAGATATAGAGGATCTCCGGATTCTAGGATAAGGGCGGCCCTAGGGGCAGACGCGACCTATAGGACTTCTTTTAATACCTTATATATACGTTCGGCAACGTATAGGAGCGGGAGAAGGCGTAGGATAGGCTACGGACCCTTAGGTAGAGGGACGGGCAGTCCTTTAGCAAATTCCTCCCTAACTTCGAAGAGACGCTCTTACGGGCGGCGGGAACCACGGTATAGGAAGACAGCGCGAAGCTTATATAGTTACGGAACTTAATTACGCTAGCCCTATAGGAGCTACTTATCCCTATAATTATACCTACTAACTACGGCGAGTATATAAGCCGGTTAATAAAGGTAGTATAGGGCTATAAGTAGACGCCGCGTTTCTAGAAGCTTCGTAAGCGTACGCCGTATAGCGGTAACGGGATTACCGCCCCTCTATAAGAGGAATAGCCGACTATCGATATAGACGGGGATACCCTAATATCGGCTACCTATATAGACCGAGCTAAACGCGGTAGGAAGTCGTTATCGAATATTCCTTATACTATTCCGCCCTTTAAGTAGCGGGCGAAGTAAGTAACGAGCGAGGAAATCGGGAAAAGAAAGGCTAATAGCCGCTACCTACGTTATAGCACGTCTATATACTTTATATTAAAATGCCCCTTCCTTTTAGCTAAGCGGCCTATAGTAGTTCGAGTAGTAAAGATAGAACCGCTCCTTGCCTTAGACGACGAAGAGGACTCCGCGCCCCTAGGCCTAGAGGAAAAAGAGTAGCTCCGGAGCGAAGATAGGCTCCGGAGCCTTAATTACTAGTACTAGTAAAGGAGAAGGAGGAATTATCCGCCTATATAGAAGAGGAGCTTACTTTAATATAGGTTATAATTAATAACTCCTTACCCGTCGCCGCCCTTATAGATAAGGGCTGCTAGTACTACGCCGTAGTTAACGAGGCGCTTACGCGAGAGATATAAGTGCTAGTAGAAAAGATCGCCCTAAGGTAAGTAAAGGGCGCCTTAGGCGCGATAGAGGGTATAGTAATTAGGGGCATTATATAGCTAGCTATAGAGGTCGACGGCTACTATAAGCTTATTATAGCTTATATAATCCCTTAACTAGAGTTTCCCTTAATCCTTAGGAAACCCTAGTTATTATATATAGAGTTATACTTAGTTCTATACTAAAAAAAGCTATAGTTTAGGCCTACGTAACGGTAGGTCTACTACGACGACGGTTCTATAGGCGTAGGACTAGGCGTACGAGCTTTATACTCGGCCTAAGAAGTCCTTGCCTCTATCTTTATAGGAACCGTGCGACGGGTAAAGTAGAAGGAAGGCCGGGCAGCGGCTAACGTAGCGGTCTACGTAGTTAGCCTAGCGGATATCGATAAGGCCCTTTAGATAAAGAAGCTAAAGTCGCCCGCTAAGCTATAGTAATAGATACTAGAGCGCTTTTACGACCTCCTACCGCTATTTAAGTCCTAGGAAGCGGATAAGCTTAACCTATATAAGCCGGGGGTAGATTATAGGATCGTACTCTATACTAATAAGAAGGGGTAGGAACTACCTATACTATTCGGACCGCTATATAGTATATTATACGTAGAGCTACTAGTGCTAAAGAAAACGCTAAGGGACCTCTTAGATAAGGGTTTTATTTAAGTAAGTAGCTCCGAAGTAGGAGCGCCGGTCTTATTTATACGTAAACTAAGGGGCGGGATATAGTTCTATTACGACTATAGGGCTCTAAACGTAATTACGAGGCCGGACCGCTACCCTTTACCCCTAATCTTAGATACGCTCTATAACCTCTTAAAGGCGAAGTAGTTTACGAAGCTAGATATAAAATAGGCGTTCTATAAGGTATAGATCTTAAAGGGTAACGAGTAGAAGATAGCGTTCTATATACGCTATAGCTTATTCGAGTAGCTTATAACGCCCTTCGGCCTATTAAGAGCGCCCGCTACCTTCTAATATTATATTAATAATATACTTCGCGACTTCCTCGATAAGTTCGCTTCTATATATATAGATAATATCCTTATCTATACGAGCGGCTCTTATAAGGACTATATATAGAAAGTATAGAGGGTCCTAGAGCGCCTCTAACTTTATAGGCTCTACCTCGACCTAGATAAGTGCGAATTTAGGGTTAAGAGGGTTAAATACCTAGGCTTTATTATCTATATAGGCATAAGTATATAGGCAGATCCTATAAAGATCTAAGCGATCTAAGACTAGGCGGCCCTAACTACGTAAACGGGCGTATAGAGCTTCCTTAGGTTCGCGAACTATTATAGGATATTTATTAAGGGCTTCTCCTATATTATAATGCCCTTAAACGAGATTACTAGGAAGCGGACCGCCTTTCGTTAGGGGCCTATATAGGAAGGGGCGTTCCGTACGCTTAAGGACCTTTTCTCGTAAGCCCTAGTACTACTCTAGTAGGACTTTAACCGGTCTACGTTAGTCGAAGCGGACTATAGCGGCTAGGCACTTAAAGGAACGCTCTCTTAAGAGGTAAACGGGCGGAAGTAACTAGTAGCGTTCTACTCCTATAAGCTAACCTTAGTAAAGCGGAATTACGCTATTTACGATAAAGAGATACTAGCGATTATTAGCTACCTCGAGCGATAGTAAGCGGAGCTCTAGAGCTACGAGAGCTTCGAGGTTCTTACGGACTATAGGAACCTTAAGTACTTTATAACCCGCTAGCACCTCTTAGAGCGGTAAGCCCGCTAAGCGGAGTATCTCTTACGCTTTAACTTCTCGATTAAGTACCGCCCTAAGCGGGACTCTATAGTCCTAGACGCGCTTTCCTAGAGGGATTAGGACCGGCTAATAGGAGCAGATATCGAGGCCTAGGATCTATAGCTTATCCCGTAAGAAGCGCTATAGACTTATATAGGAGCTTCCCTAGTAAAGGAAGGCGCGGTGCTAGCGGACGAGCTTCCTCTTATACCTTTACTACCGAACGAGCTTCCCTTAGCGCCTTTACCTCGGTCCGGCGAGGAGGGATAGACCGGCCTAGGGGCACGCGCGGCGAGAGTATTCTAAGATATAGCCCTTTAACGCTTATAGGATAGGATAGCGGCTCTAGATCGCACCTACGAGAGCGTGCACCGCGCTATAGAGTCCGGCGCTCGACGCCTAGATCTAAAGCTAAAGCTAAAGGTATAGGTAGCCGACTACTATATCGACCTACGGGGGTATCTACGCTAGCGGGGGAGACTATAAGTACCGGGCGTACCGTATACTACGGAAGCTAAGGAGAAGGATAGACCGCCGGAGCTAGACGAATAGAACGAGCTCTAAGGGAGGCTAGTCTAGCTTATCTACGACTCTAGCGTCGTAGGTTACCTAGGCAGGTAGGGTATAGCGGCGGGCCTTGCGAGGGACTTTTACTAGCCCCTCCTATAGCACTACGTTCGTTGCTTCCTCTATAACTATAATATCTATAGCCGTACGAAAATCTAAAGGGCGTAGCTTAAGGGGCTGCTTAAGTAGCTTCTAGTACTAGACCGGTTCTATACGTATATATAGATAGACTTTATAATAGACCTCCCGCTTATAAAGGGCGGTAACCGCTATATATAGGTAATTAAGGACCGACTTAGTAAATTAGTAGTACTAGAGCTAATACTGTCTATAGATATAAAAGCTTACGTAGAGCGCTTCCTTTAATACTAGGCCCGCTTATATAGCTAGCCGGCCTCTATTACGAGCGATAGAGGGTCGAACTAAACTAGCCGCTTTTAGTAGTACCTATGCCGGCTACTCTAGATTATATAGCTGCTTAGCACGGCCTATTACCTATAGACCGATAAGGGTCCTAAGAGGGTTAACTAAGAAGCGTAGGCGTACCTATAAGTAGTTATAGCCCGTAACTAGGCGGACTAAGACCGCTAGCTCCCCGCTACCTAGCTCGCGCTAAATAGTAGACTATAATCCTCTATTTAAATAGCCCCCTTCTTCGTAACGCATAGCTTTAAGCCGCCCTCCCTAATCCCGTTTACCGCTAACGTAGTAGTAGAGTAGTATAGTAGTACGTTACTAGAGAGCCGCGCTTCTACGTTTATATAGAAGCTATAAGAAACTATAGAATACTACTAATCCGCGATAGCCGCAGCGGCGTAGGATTAGGAGCGGCATGCTAATAAGACTAAGGCGCTAGTAAATAGGTTTACGGTAAGAGATAAGGTATAGCTCGACCTCCGTAACTATAGGTTAGTACGACTAAAGAAGAAACTAGACTAGCTATATACGAAGTTTACGGTATAGAGGGTCGTTAGCCCGTAGGCAGTTAAGCTCGATAGCCTCCTAATAGGGGTCTATAATAAGGTTAACGTTAACCTCTTTCGCCGAGCCTCCTTCGACCCGCTACCTAGATAAGAAATAGCGGACGCCTAACCGCCTATAATTAAGGTAGAAGGGGACGACGAATTTAAGGTTAAGGAGATATAGGCTATACGCTAGAGGAAGGTAGGCAGGGGGATACGCTAGGAGGTTCTCGTTAAGTAGCGTAGGTACCTCGACCCTATATAGGAACCTATACGTAAGTTTATAGGAGCTATAGCCCTCGATAAGTTTAAGACCCTATATAGACCGGTAGATAAGAACGATAGACTAGTAGACTACCGGTAGTAGCCTAGACTAAGACTACGAAATAGGTAAAGCGGAGTTAATAGTTATAGCGATATAAGCGTAATAGTATAAGCGGAGATAAAAATAGTATTTATTTTAAGGCGGAGCCCTTAGACTTCCCGAGCTTATTCTTTATTATTACCCTTACCCTCGCTATTATTATTATTATTATCCTCGTTAGCCCCCTCCTCCTCCTTAGCGGCGGCGGCGGCGCTCTCTAGCGCGCTAAGTCGGCCCTCTAGGCCTATAAGCTAGTCGGCGGCGGCGGCGGCTCCGGGGGCGGAGGGGCGGCGGCTAGCTTCGGCGGCGGCGGTAGGGGTAGTAGTAGCGGCGGCGGCGGGCACGGCTATAAGGATCGCCGATAAGGCAACGGAGGCGGTATCCCTAGTACCGGGAGAGTTAGTAGCGGAGGTAAGAAAGCGGAGGGGGAAGAACCTATTTAGGGATAAGCCCCTAGCGCTCTAAGGCGCGGAGGTTACGGTAGGCGGCTACGGCGGCGGTAAGGCGCTTCTTAGTAGCCCCCTAGGCCTGCCTATACGCGCCGGCCTTCTAAGCCGACGCCGCAACGAGCAGGACGGGAGGCGCCGCCTTATAAGCGCGGCCGGCACGCGTATACTAGTAATAACTACCGCCGCGGCGGCGCCCGACCTAGTCGGCGTAAGGGAGCTCCTACGACGTATACCGTATATAGGGGGCCGCGCGAGCTCGGCTGAACTAGCGCTTATACTTTAAGGAGTTAGCGGAAGACGTCTATTACGCTCGCTCGACTATAGACTTACGGGGGTAGCGGAGACGGAGGCGGGGGCCGAGGGGCCGGGCGTTATAAGTAGCGGCGGGGATAGCGTTATTACCCTAAAGGGCGACGTGAGGGTAGCTAGCGTAGCGGAGGCAGTAGCGGCGGCGGTAGGCATAGTAGTAGGGGCGCGGGTAGGAGCAGCGGCAGCGGCGGAGTCGTCGTCGGCCGTGCCTAGCATAGCGTCGACGAACGACTTCGCACGCTCCGAGAAGGAGGAAGTAAGGGAGGGGGAGGTAGATATATCTATCGCGGAAGTTAGTATTACGGATTACGGCCTCCCGCTCTATAGGGCGGGGAACTTATTAGTTAAAGTTATTATTATTATTACTATTATTAGGGCTATTATTACTACTATAGCTATTACTATAAGTATACGTTAATAGAGCGGCCCGTATAACTAAGAACGAACTAACGCCCTAGGTAGAGTAGAACTTACCTATTATTACTACTACTATAGTTAAAGAAGGAAGAGAAGGAAGGGAAGGAGGAAGGGGGGGATACCGCCTTATATACCCCTTAGTAGAGGAGGCGGCCTAAGGCTAAGGGGACGGGCAACCTAAGGCTTACGTAGGTCTAGGCCGGCCGCCGGCTACCTAGGGGCGTATATAATAGGTTACGCCCTTATTTAAACGGCTAGCCGGCCGATAAGTATAGAGCTAGGTTCTAGCTACCTAGGCTAATAAGTATAGGGATAATAAGGCTAGTAAGGCTAGCATAATTAATAGGAAAGAGTAGGGTAGAGCTAGCGGTATAGGCCTAATAGTATAGAAGCCGTTAATAGGGCAGCGCCGCGCCGCGCTTAAGGGAGGGTATTATATAAGAGTCTTTAACTATTATAAGTTATAGGCTTAGGCTATAGCCTAAGCTATATAGTTACGTACGGAGGGCCGGATCCTATATATATATATACGGGCTAGCCGCGTATAGAAGAGCTCTATATAGCTTATTAATATTATCCTACGGACGGCACCTATGTATACGCCTCTACCTACTCTATAATAGTAAGCCCCCCTTACCCTTAGAGCCCTTAGAGCCGCCGCTACTACCGACTAGCTTATAGGCTTAAAGGGCCGCTTAAGTGCCTTAAAGAGCGCCGCCGCCGCTAATAAGGTAAAGGAGGATAATAAAGATAAGGATAATAATAATAATAAAGATAAGGAGTAAGTTTAAGTAGTTTAAGGGCTCTACCTTAAAATAAACGCTATTTTTATCTCTACTTATATTATTACGCTTATATTATTATAACTACTTACTCCGCTTTACTTACTTTATAGTCTTAGCCTAAGCTATTATTAGTAGTTTATTAGTCTATTATTCTTATTTACTATCTTAAATAAGGCCTTAAACTTATCGAAGGCTATAGCTCTTATAAACTTATATATAGGTTCTTATATAAGGTTAAGATACCCGCGCTACTTAACGAGGACTTCCTAGCGTTTCTCTTTATTAACCCTTTTCTAGTATATAGCTTATATCTCTTTAACCTTAAACTTATCCTCTCTTTCTACCTTAATTATAGGTAGTTAAGCGTTTACTACTTTTTATTTAAGTAGTAGGTTAAAGGAAGCTTTATAAAGGAGGTCTATATTAATCTTATTATAGACCCTTATTAAGAAACTATTAAGCTTTATAACCTATAAGCTAATAACCCTTTATACTATAAAATTTATATATAGCTAGTTAAGCTTCTTCTTTAGCTATACTAACTTATAGTTATAGAGGTCTAGCTATACCTTATCTCTTACTATAAACCTATTTACTAGAGCCCTAGTTTTATTAGCGTACTACTCTTAATCTTATACTATAGCGGCTATCGCGGATTAGTAATAATCTATAGTCTCTTATAGCTTTTATATAAACGTAAAAGCGCGGCCCTTTAATAATAAATTACTATACTATTCCGCTATTATATTTATAGTAAAGGGAACTAGTAAAGGTAGTTTAAAGCTATATATTATAAAGAAAGGGGCTATTTTAATAAAGGTATATAGTTTATTATTTAATATAAGTTAGGCTATAAGGAGCTACTAGTCTTAGTCTACTTAGTTATAGGCTACGATAGCTTATAAGTAAGCCTATACCTCTTAGTTAACCCTTTTAATCCCTTATCGCTTATAATAAAGGCTAGCTAGCTATATAAGTAGGCTTAGTACTATAAGAAGTACTTTATATAGGACTTTATATCTATAGATAGTATTAGCTTTAATACTATAAACTTATTAAGTTAGTTTTTAATTACTTATATATAGTAGTTACCGCCCTTTATAAGTAAGAGGTTTATTATAAAGTCTATCTATATATATATATAGAACTAGTTAGGTACTAAAAGCTACTTAAGTAGCCCTTTAAGCTACGCTCTTTAAATCTTAATATAGCTATAGATATTATAGTTATAAAGGAAGTAGCGAATATAGTACTATAAGAGGGGCTAGTAAAAATCCCTTATAAGGCCTACTACTATACCTTACCGACCTAGGTAGCCTATAATACTAAAGTAATAAACGAGCTAGACTAGCTTCTTTTAAAGCTCGTTTTATTTATCTAGCTTTAGCAGTCTATCCTTCTCCTTAGCTTTTAAAGTATATAGCGCGCCCGGTACTTATAGTCTGCCCTACTAATATAAATGCCCTTATAGGTCGATATAATAGTTAGCTACTTATACCTTTAGCTTTAGCTTTAAATTAAGGCGTTAAGCGCTAGACTTAATAGCGCGGCGTATACTCTTATAAGTACGGTCTAAAGATAATATCCTATCCTATAAGCGTTAAAAGACCTTATCTTAAAATACCCGCGCTATACGCGCCCTTATACCGGTCTATCCCTCCTTACTAGACTAAGGTAAAGGTATAAGGGAAAGCTTATTTATTAGCCCTATGCCTCCCTTTACTAAGGAAGCTCCTATATAAGTCCGTAGCGCCTCTTATAAGATAAGCTATAGATCCCGGGCCTTAATATCCGCTCTTATTAGCTAGTCTTAATCTCTTTAAGAAAGTATATCTAAGACTATAAAGTCCCGCCTTAGTTAGTACTTAATTAAAAAGTTAAAGTATAAGAGGTACTTTACTTAATAGGCTTACTACTCTAAGAGGTACTAGTAAGTTATAAAGTACTTAAAGTTCTTATAGTCTATAAGAACCTTAAAGCTCTTATAGCTTTAAAGCTCTACTTACTATTACTTAAGGTAGTTAATAATCGCTAGTATCTCTTTATTATAAATAGTATAATTCCGCTCTACTAAGGTTAGCTTATAGGAGTAGAACGCTATTAGTTACTTCCGCTTATCTACCTCTTAAGAGAGCGTTCCTTTAAGTACCTAGCTACTATAGTTTACTTCGACTAATATAAACCGGTTAAAGTCCTACTAAAGTAATATTAGGGCTTATAAGAATAAGCCCTTAAGTATATAGAACGCTTCTTTCTATATAGGCCCTTAATAAAAAGCGGTTTACTTTTTAGTAATTTTATTTAAAGGTATTATTATTATTATTATTAAGATTACGCTAGGGACCTAGCTAGAGGTATCTAGAACTTTAATATTAAATAGGAGGGAAAAACTAGAGTGCCTAGGGGAAAACCCTCCCCTCTTTTAGTATAGGTCCGCCTCGAAAGAGGTCGTGGTAGTAGTATATAGGAAATTTACGCCGGCTGCCGCGGGCTCCTCCCGCGAAATCGCGTCTCGGCGCGGGCCCTCTCGGGCCGTAGCCGCTACTATCCCGAGCGGCCGCGGCCCGGGCTCGCTAGCCCGGGCCTAGGGTTATAGGCAGTAGTCTCTCTCTAGGGGCCCGACTCGCGGGCGCCTTTATTTACCCTAGCTCCCGCGTCGCAGCCGCGTAGCCGCGGTTACGTCGGCTTATCGGTCCGTTAGTTAGTAGGGCAGGTAATATCCGGTTGCCGGGCCGGGCGCTAGTATAGGTCGCTCCTAGGTAGGGCCGGCTAATCGAAATTCGGTCGGCTAGCTCCGCTAATCGTAAATCGGTTCCCGTCTAGCTACGCGACTTCCCGATTAAGGGCGCGGCGGCCTATATTTACCCTCTATCTTATAGTTACTAATTACGCGCGCCCGGCTCGCGCCTATATATACCTGCCCTCCCCCCTTAGTTCTATATATGCCTCCTCCTATCCTTCTATTATCTATCTCTTTCGTAGGCCTAACTACTACCTCGCCCGCCTCGTTTCTATAACTCTAGGTCTCCTTAATACCGTATTTAGTTCGCTCGTCGTCGCGTCGTAATATCTAACTAAGAAGCCGACTTAGGTAGTAGCGGCTCGCCTCCTCTAAAACCCCCTCCTTATAAGAAAGTCGCTATAGTAGCGGGATTAAAGCGCTCTATCCTATATTTTACGTATATCGGGCGTCTTACTAGTAAGCTTACCTATAAGTCCTTCGCCGGCTATTAAAACTAATCTTATATATATTAATCCCGGCTTTATCCTAGGTTAGTCTTACCTTTAGTATTTTTACTAACTTTAATAGCCGTAAAGGCTAAAGCGTATATCGCTTACGCCGACTCTAACTAGTCTTATTACCGAGTAAGTAACCCCTTCCTACTATAGTACTATCCGAGTTCGGTGCTAATCTAAGTTCTAGATTACCTCTAAAAGCGAGAAGGCCGCTAGTGCCTTTTACTAAGCATAGTCTAAGGTCAATAGCCCTTCCCTTATTAAGGGTTTAGTATAAGAGCGCCTTTATCGTGCTACTCTAGAAACTTATATTCGCGCTAGTTAGAAGGCCCCTACCGCTAAAGGCAAGGGCGCGTTAGGTAAGTCCGCCCCCGGTCTAGCTATAGTCGCTAAGAATATAAAGACGCTCGCGTCGGCCTTTACCCGTTTCGTAGATAATACCCGCTATATATATAAGTCCCTAGAGAAGTACCTAGGTAAGTTTAGCGACGCTATTAAGACCTTAGCCTAGGTCGGGCCTAAGTCGCTCTTAGTCGCCTAGAAGACTCTTATAGCGGTTAACGATCTCGCTAACTATTTCTATCCTATTACTAGCGACGGCCCTAACGCGGAGGATAGCGGCTTTAATCTTATTAGTCTTACTAGGCCCGTTCCGGCCTTAATCCCCGTCGATAAAAGGAAGGGCAAAGGTAAGGGTAAGGCGGTAGCCGCGTTTAAGGCCCTATCTAAGGCTAAGGCTAAGGTATCTATGCCCGCGGCCGTTACGGAGCCGGCTCG